TATATATATATATATATATATATATATATATATATATATATATATATATATATATATATATATATATATATAACTGAGACTTCCACTCATCTGTGACTTTGGTCGGTCCTCCGGCAGTTGTTGGAACACCTTTCATATCAGTTAAAAAACAAAAATGGTGTTGGCTCCACGACTTGCAGATGTTTTTGGGGGCAGAAGAAACCTTCCTTTAAAAAAAAAATAATAATTGGGCAGCATGGTGTCGAGACATGGGGGGTGGCATTCATCCATCATCTGGATCATATTGTGTATGTCAAAGAGAGAGAGAGAGAGAGGAGGTGCACACCTCCTCACCATGTCCAAGCATTTGGGCACCACTTCTCTCTACTCCGTTGAATCGAAAACCATAATGAAATGGATTCTTCTAACGTAAAAGATGGCATTCGGAAAGGTTGACATGACGGCAGGATCTCGCTCCCACGTCCCCGGCTTTAAGAGCCTCAGATCTCCTGTTTGTTTAAGTACAGCACTACCGATCTGAGAAAAAGTCCTCAGCAAAATTTAAGACTACATAACCTACGGAACGTGAAGCATTATTCAATAGGCAGCCATACGTATGGAGATGATGGAGGCTTCATCCCTCCCACTCTGTAATAGATGAATGCATCATCATTTGTCAAGATCGAAGAATGATAAGGGTAATAGTCGAGAGTTAGAGAGAGAGAGAGAGAGAGAGAGAGAGAGAGAGAGAGAGAGAGAGAGAGAGAGAGCGAGAGAATTAGTGACATGAGGGACGTTAACCTGGAAATTTAGAGAGATAATGATCTACCTTAAACGGAACGGATGATGTTTTATTCCTTGTTTCTTTTTTAAATATAAATACAGAGATTAGGAAACCTGGATTTGACCAAGTCATAGTGATTTATTTATTTCTTTTTTGCCAATATGCGAGCAAGCCATAAATAAAATCCTTTTTCTAGACGGGCGTGACGTGATCCTGATGTCCTTCGAGGATCTTCATCATCTAATCTAATCTAATCTAATAGGATGATCTAGTGGCACTATGATTTATTATTTTTCTCTTTTGAGCTTTTGCTTCCGTGTATAAATACATGTTGTTGATGCGCTTTTCATCGTCTATGTTTTCTTTGCACCCTGGTGAAGTTTATCATAAAAACTATTGTATTCATGCGTTTTGTCTAAGGTCTCATCAAACACATACACTCTTTTGGCTTGGTGCATTTTTTTTTCACATCAATCTAATCAAATTATATCTTCCAATACTGTTTCACCAATTATTGTTAATAAATTATTGAACGCCGATGACTCCACCACCTATATGTTTAGCGTTCTTTGTTAAACTTGAAGGTGTTGAACGCCTGTTGGTTTTATATACTCTCATACGATCTTCCAATATATATATATAGTGTAAAGGCGGAAGAAGGCGCGGCGCAGCCACGGGAGCGTTGGGGGATGGATGTGGGTTCACCGCGATAGCCAAGAAACAACTGTTGGTGCAATGAGACGCTGTTGTCTTTACCCCCCACACAGAACCGATGAAGACTGAACACGTAGCGTGCCCCGCGCCCCCACACACGACTGCTTTCCCCCACCTCGCTTCTCCTTCTCTCCTCCTCTTTCAACGGTGGAGACTCGCGTGCTTCCAAATCCGAGTCTGTGTTGTTTTGCTTGCTTTCTCGCCCCACATCGTGATGCTATTTCTGTTACTGTGCAAGGAAGGATATGACACAACTTAGGATCAAAGAAGGTAGGCATGTTTAATTGATCTCGCATCTGAAAGTTACTCAAGTGCCACTGTTCTGACCCATCAAAGAAGGTAGGCTTTATTTTCTCATGGGTAAGTAAACACAGAAGCTAAGAGGAAGGAAAGAAGGAAGGTGACGTTAGATCCAAGGGATGTTCCTCAAATCTACTCCCCCACGAGTAGAAGATCATGCTGCCTATAAGAAAACAATTATATGACTGACTGGCAAAAGATTCAGAAATTATTCCGATATTTTTTAGGAATAGGGGGGTGTTCAGCTTTAGATTTTGTAGTAAAAAAATGTGTGCTTAAATCGGAGGAGATCTGCAGATAGTAGCGCCATTAATTTCAGGAAACAACGACATTTCTATGAAGAAAGGCACAGTACTGTACGGGATGGATGCATCGGGCACCAAATATTCCTCCGTCTTCCCTTCCCGGCTTATAAATACACAACCGACCTCCCTTCTCCCCAAGCAAGCGCACGAGTAGCGGTGAGTTTAGGGATTCCTTCCTTTACGCAATCAACTTTTTTTTTTATCACCGAATGACTCGTAAAGACTATTCCTTTCCCCACCATTCATTCCTCCCCTAAAGCCACGTTTCTTCTGAGGGTTTGAACTTTGAAGCGCAGGAATTAAGCAAGTGGAAACCACTCGATCCCCTGTTGTTTGCGCTCAACGCCCTAACGATCCCATCTTGATCCCCATTCCGGTCAATCCTTATCGCCAAGATGATCTGCTCGTTGAAGTCGTCGTCCTCGGCATTCGCCGCCACCACGGATCTCTTGCCGCCGAAATCGCGGATGACTCCGACACTATGCTTCGCCACTCTCCGTTGCAACTCCTTTTCACCGAAGACCCCGAGTTCCTCCCTTTCTTCTATTAAGCCCCTGTATCTGACCCCTCTCGAAAGCTTCGGCTCCGCGAAGCCTCGAGGCATGTCGCTGAAGGCCAAGGCCTACGAGGCGGACCGGTCCGAGAGCGTCGCGTTCCCGGACCACGAGGCGCGGGCGGCGGCGGCGCAGAAGCTCAAGATCGGCATCTACTTCGCGACGTGGTGGGCGCTGAATGTGGTGTTCAACATCTACAACAAGAAGGTCCTCAATGCTTTTCCCTATCCTTGGCTGACCTCCACTCTCTCCTTGGCGGCTGGCTCCCTCATAATGCTCCTCTCCTGGGCCGCGAGGGTCACCGCGGCGCCCAAGACCGACTTGGAGTTCTGGAAGGCTCTTGCTCCGGTGAGGAAATCAGGGTTCTCGGAGGATTTTATTAGGATTCAAAGCTTTGGTTTTCCTCCGCCTTTTTCATCTCAATCATCTTTACGCTGTACGGACTACGATCAGGTGGCGGTGGCGCATACCATCGGACATGTCGCGGCAACAGTTAGCATGTCGAAGGTGGCGGTGTCGTTCACCCACATAATCAAGAGCGGGGAGCCGGCGTTCAGCGTGTTGGTGTCGAGGTTTGTGCTGGGAGAGAGGTTCCCAGTGCCCGTTTATCTCTCGCTGGTGCCCATCATCGGTGGTTGCGCTTTGGCAGCTCTGACGGAACTCAACTTCGATATGACCGGTAGCTACTTACCTACCTGTGGAAACTTGACGCATTCATTCATTCATTCATTCATTCATTCATTCGATGATCCTAGTTTGTTAAATGAAAACCTTTCTGGGAATATGATGCTTTGCGTTACGGATCTTGAAAGGCCCTCTTCCTCTCCCTTACCTGCTTTGGTTACAGGTTTTATGGGTGCAATGATATCAAACCTTGCATTCGTCTTTCGGAATATTTTCTCAAAAAGAGGGATGAAGGTGACATCCGTGAGCGGGATGAACTACTACGCCTGCCTGTCTATGCTGTCTCTGCTGATACTTTTGCCTTTTGCGATCGGGGTGGAAGGTCCCCAGTTATGGGCAGCTGGTTGGCACGAGGCTATCTCACACATCGGTCCCCATTTTGTCTGGTAATCGTAGCAGCGCTTGTATATATATTCCTTGTCAATCAACAGTAAATTAATTTGATTTCTCTACCTTCTTTCCACAAATCTATATAATTTCTATTGACCTAATATGTGTGTAGCATGTATGGATGCAAAAATTCTCAGAGATAATTTGATTTCTTCTACAAAAATTTCTCAATCTGATGTGTCCAAAGCTAAAACTTGGAGAATCTGTTTTAGCCTTTCGCGAGATTTATTTGTTATTTTATTTTATTTTATTGGTTACACCACATTATAAAGAGACTGACTGTTGTAGCTAATGCAGTCGGTGTATGTGAATTTAATTTGATTAGGTGGGTGGCAGCCCAAAGTGTGTTCTACCACTTGTACAATCAAGTTTCCTATATGTCGCTGGACGAAATCTCGCCGTTGACATTTAGCATTGGAAACACCATGAAGAGGATATCTGTTATCGTCTCCTCCATCATAGTCTTCCACACACCCGTCCAGCCCATCAACGCCCTCGGTGCAGCCATTGCCATTCTTGGAACTTTTCTATACTCCCAGGTAACCTTTCTCCCTTATTTGTTTTATATACTGCTGGAAAGATAACATCTTGGACAATTATCAAGAAAAGTAGAGTTGCTTTTTCGTATTCATTCCCTCTGAAACGATAGAAGAAGATGAAGAAGAAGATGATGATGATGATGATGGATATATTGATGGTTGAACATGTTATGTTCACTGAGGTCTTTCTGATATTCTCTGATTAACACAGAAACTAGGAACAAGTTTACAGTGAAAATGAGCTCTCCATCAAATAAAATCCTTTTTCGAAAATTGACAGGCTAGCTTTTTCTTGATAAGCTGAAAAAACACAAGTGGCCCTTTTGGAGACCTTTTCCAACCATTGCAGTCCTGATTACCGTGGCATGCATTAGATACTAACTATTATGAGATTCTAGTGAACCGAGAAACTGTCTTTGTTGTATATTAGTGGTTTGCGGGTGCAATCATCATATAAACCAATAAGGGATCGAATTTGCTTCGGATTTATGATTAATACAACGTGCAATTCTCATTCTGTATGTCGCTTGTGAACCTTGCAATTCTGGTCTGACAGTGATTATAAGCATCCTGTTCGTCAACGTGTTGCAGGCTAAGCAGTGAGTAGCAGAATCCTCAATATCAGAATCCTCCACCCGTATCAGTATTTCAAGTAGTTGCGATGTAGCTTGTTGTTTAGTGCAACGGAGGGGAGATGAAACTTAAGCTAGGCTTGGAAGGAGAGGTGCACGCACTGCATCATCGACACTCCGTCGTGGATAGAAGAAGACTCGTCTTCGAGAGTTGCAACCAGTAGCGGAACGAAATGATGTTTGGATGGGAGTACCTGAGATGGCAGCTAGTATGATATTATTGTCGGAGATATGGCTTATTAGGAATTCAGAAGAGCGCACTAGCGAATATATGTATTTGTGTGTGAATGTATTATGCGTTTGTTTTCAATGAAATTAGAAGCGTAGTACAATGGAATGGACGGTCTTCCTTGTGCTACGTCTTTTAGATACTGTTGCATGAATGACCTTTCTCTCTCTCTCTCTCTCTCTCTCGTTGTCATTTTTCCCGTGGGATTTGAGGACCGTCGAGTGCCTCGAGAGTTGGCCCCCCTCGGTGTATGATTGTTGGGCACTGTCGTTGAGCAGATCGATCGATCGATCGAGAAAGAAAGATGGTGCTGCCCGAGCATGGAAATTAAAACCTTCGCGAGCTCTCCTTGTCCACATCTTTGAAACTGTATGACAACCTGCTTCCTTATCTTCATTGGCATCTGCTGCTGGTTGGTGCATCCAACAAGCATCGACTGTCCGGAGCATCAATCTTGCATGACTGTTTTTTGTTCGACGGTGGCTGCTGCTTAGCGGTCGTCGGCCCACCTCGTTCGTGTTCAGCAACAACGCCGACGCCGACGCCAATTCTGCTCCCGCGTAATGTCGTCCAAGTGTCATACGATCATGAACCACCTTTGGCTTCTACTTCTTCATAGGGAGCCTCTTAATTGGAAGCATCTAAGCATATCGTTGTTGTTAGATATTATAATTTAATTTTTAAATTTAATTAAAATTAAATCAAAAGTTTAAGTTAAAAATGAAGTTCTTATTTCATTAGGTTTAGATCTATAAGTACATTGTGCCCTATTCATCACCCAAGGCAAGAGAGAAGTGGACAAGAGATTGAGGTGCATTAAGCACTGTTTAGAGAGAGAAATTGTGCTCTTTAGTAATTTAATTCAGCCTAAGAGAGAGAAAGTCTAGAGAGAGAAATTTCGAGGAAAAAAATTATAGAGAAATTTATTTGAAGCGGCGCTCATAATATTGACAAGAAGATTATTGGCATGGCTTCCTTCAGTAATATAATTCAATCTCAAATTCCTTGATTCATCGATAAGAACTATGATCACTAGAGTTTCCATATTAAGATATTTTTTAAATATCAAGATATTTGAAATATTATTAACAAAGATTTTACGGAGCGAAGTAGAAAATTTTTACATCACAAATCAAAATGCCGAGTTGAGAGATCACAGAAGAATAATCAAAAGACTCTTATGCATATTTATCAAGCATTAGAACCCAGTATCTTTTGAGAAGATCTCCACAACTCAAACTTCATATGATGCTTGATCTACCTTTAGAAATTTATTGAGGCATGACTAAGGTAAAGAAAATATGCGTCTGAAAGATCAAAGTTTTAAAGTTTAAAAACGAATCAAACTGAATCTATATCAGATTATTTGGTTGTCACAAACCAAATGAAAACCAATGGTGAAGACGTTAGTAATGTTAAAATTATAGAAAAGATTCTTATCCCAATAATATCTAAATTTTAGCATTTAGTTTGTTCGATCGATGAGTAAAGTGTTAGATTACGTGACTCTATTTAATTAGATAAAATATATTATAGATATTATTAGATTATGATTATAATTATTAATCAATAAAAAAAAATTTAATTATAATATGATTCCTTATAAGATGACCTTGATGAGAGAGACTCTCCTAATTACCATCCTAGACGCTCTGCTCTCACGTATAAAAGAATAATAACTCTTGGGGATAAAATAATTAGTTAGTGAGAGATTATATATCTTGTCTTATCTCTCTTTTATCCCTAATTCATTACTCATAGTGGTCTTGTGAAGAGTAAGATTTTGAGCCATATTTTGAAATCAAATACTTTAGATAGTAAAAATATTTCATATATATTTTGTATTTAGATCTGTTATTAGTATCATTCACTTGCAAAGGTGTTATTTAATTTTTATTTATAATGCTTAAACGATCTGTGTATATTGTCAATCTATTTTTCTATTTAGTCCGTCTTATAGCTTGCTTACGGGCGATACAAGGTTCCCCATCGATGGACTATTGTCAATGACTTACTATTAGTGATAGCATTGTTGATGGCGATAGCCTCTAGTGGTCACCAACCTAATCGCGGACAGTGATTGTGTACACAGTGAAAGCACTGTAAATTACAATAGCCGACGATGGCCACATGCATGGTTGCTTGTGTGCAACAACCTTGCAGTGGTCGACCGACCTTGGTCATATTTGGTTGTAATATTGTTGCAACCTACAACGGTTGTAGCAGTGCTACTTTCTACGACGATTGCAATAGTGTCGTTGCATGTGACAGCTGCAGCAACACCACTACGACATTTGCTAGCTACGACCAACGTTGACTAGATGCTGAAGGTTATGATACCTAGTGATTGCGTAAAGAACTCATGAGAATAGTGACGCTACCACCTGTGATGTGCACGTGGTGGCATGATGTGGTGCGATAGTGGTCAGCGATGGAAACTCTATGGAGCATGTTGATGTAGTTGACGATGAGGATAGCACTGTCATTATCATGGAGGATGAGCTTTGACATTGTGGTCACCAGTGAGCGTAGTTGAGCGTCGGCTCAACGGCACAACATGATAACAGTGAAATCATCGATTAGCCACCTAAGAACAACCACGCCACTGTGGATGGCCCATAGGCAGTGGATGACTAGTGCACCGCTAGCAAACCTAAATGTGTGGGTGTAGTAGAATGTAGAAGCGACTAATGAGAGAGGTTTTAGGATTTTTTTTCATTTTAACTAAAATGATATTTTTCTCACTCAAAAATTAGATAATTTTAATGTGCCCTTAAATTTATCTTTTCAATTATACCCTTCATTAATTAAATATTTTCATTATATATCCTAAGTAAAAGTATAGTTTTACCTTTCAGAAATTAATTTTTTTTAGCTTATGTCCTTAATTATAAAATTAATTAATTTAATTTATTTTAATCAAATATTTTGATCAGACTATCATGATTATATTTTGAAAGAGTTGGTTGAGTTTAAACTATGACTCGACTTTAGCAACCAAACTTGATAGTACTTAAGGCAGGTGGGACGCTTAGCAAATGATAAGACGAGGGATGAGTTGCTAGGCAATTGAAACAGTTGTGCAAAACTCATAGAGGTGAGGGGAATTACTAACTCGAATAATTTGGTACTCATGCAAGGGTTTTATGCGGATGATGGACTATCCATGGCTATCCCTAGACAATCGAAACTTGACGCCATGGAGCATTGAATTTTTTTTCTTTAGCATGGGAAGGATGCGTCCGTACATAGGAGGCTGAAGTGTGAAGCAAGTTCAACTTGTTTGCTAGGCCTTGAGGAGTGTAGCGGGGGTCCGTATTAGCGAAAAGTCACAATCTAGCAAGTGCGCTCATAGGGATGAAACAATACACAGTTTATTCAGAAAGATAGGATAGTCCAAGGGGATAGTGGTTTCTAAAACCTCTAGAGGAAAGGATGCAAAGAGAAAAGTTACTCCAACGAGACAGATATCGATGAGGGATAAGTTTCGATTCTCCAAAGGGAAATCATGTGTAATGAATCGCACATGTTAAGGAGTACCTCAAGACAATAGCTCTACAAAGCTCAACGAACCGAGTGAGCGACGAGGAGTCATTGCATGATCTCGCATAAGGTAATGCATTAGTAGACATAATATGAGATCAAACGAGGGAACGACCCAAGACAACACCAAATGAACACACACTTAGAGTCAATATAGAGATTAAACTCAATAGAGGGCTAACCCATAAAATGGTGGGTGCGAGGGTTACCATTAACTCAATGCAAATCGAGGAGCTAAACAACTTAGGTGAAACTTGATGAAGTACCCAAACTGCATGAATGAAGTCGACATAAAAGACGGAACATAGAGCGGAGGTATAAAACTTTCATTGGATAAAGGTCAATAACATAAACCCTTGTAGAGGCAAAAGTGAAATTATGTCGTTTTATGGGTCCCTTGTTTTGATAGAGTAGATTCATCATACATAGTGCCAAAGTTGAAGGGAGCTTCGAGGCATATGCATTATATCTCGGTGAAGCATCTGACGGAAGAACTAAGTTGACTTAATTTATGAAGGCGAAGTTGAGGTCAAAAGGCATTAGCACAGGGCAAAAGAATAAGAATGTGGGTACTCTTGAAGAATATGTCATAGTGCTGCCATTCGAGTTGTTGCAAAGGGAGCAATGTGCAGTGGAGATTGTAAAGGGTGCAGAAGCCCATGATCCAAATAATAGCACACTGATTTCAAAGAAGTTAGTGGACTTCAAGAGCTAATAGGCAATGTACTATCATAAAACTACGCTTTGTTTAGATATGACCTAAGAGCGAGTGGATGAATATCAATTGTCAAAGGAATAAACATAATCAGAGGTAGTGGAAGCTTTGCAATGTGTTAGCAAAGGCCACACATGGAGATATCACAGTTCGAGTTTATTCCACAAAGGTCAAAATACAATGGAGATATCACCAGGACGCAACATGGTACAGTGAATCATGATGGAATGGTTCAAGGCAATGCGACACACAGGTCAAGTCACACGATAGACTTGATCATACAAAGGTATGATCATGAGCTACTAGGAGCTACTCTTCGGTGAACAATATAACAACAAGAAGAGCTATATATTCAAAGAGTGAATGGCATGGTATTGCAAAGATAGGTTTTCCATGCATGCATTGAATTTTGCATAAGATAAAAGTCTTAATCATCAGCATATGGGGGTTATGTATTATTGAGGGATAACTTTGAGTACAAATATTAGTGAGTCCCATAGAGAGGACTTGATCATACAAAGGTATGATCGGAACGGTTGAAGGGTTGGACTGCTCCAAAACTCATATTTTCTTAAGGGAGCCTAGCAAGTTAGAGGATAATGCTGAATATGCAAACATTGTTACTAAGGACACAAAGAAAAATAGAATCGATGAGCTTCCTACAACATGATTATGGAGGCCATGCATGAGAATTATAATCTGTTTTTCCATCGACCAAGGGGAATTGCTCAAAGAACATTGAGGTATTGAAATAAGTGGTCAAAAGGGGTGAGAAAATGATAATGCATCCAGAGAGACTTATCTAGATAAAGCCAATTAGAATGTAGGTAGACTCGGAGGAGTGTTATAGTACCATAGAAGCGGATCTACCGATCACGAAAAAAAGGATGTAGATGCTAGATGACGGATAGTAGGGTCATGGGCATGACAGTACCATGGTACCACAGAGGCGAGACTTTCGTGGAGTCATTGATCCCTTGCTCTCATAAAAGGAGAAAACTCCAAGTATCAAGACAAGACCGAAGGACAAAGACTAGGGAACTTCATAATACTAGTATTAATGGATTTTTTTATCAAAATAGTCGAAAATGAGGGACTTTAGGTTGATATAAGATCCGTGAGCACTTATCAAGATTTTTAATTATCGACGGATTGTATTGGAACCGTTGTCGTATAATCATTCAGAGTTTACGAAATCTATATTTATAACGATTATTTAAAGAACCATAAGAGATTTTATGTAACGATTATTTACAGGTTTGATGAAATTATCGAAACTTTTCTGTACGGAACTCTACTTTCACGGGATCAAGTCACAATCATATGAATTAAAAAATTATGTCAATGGAGTCCACTGTGTATCAAATGTTGGAGCATTAAACAACATCCATATGTTGTTCGAGATTGCTGAAATAACTAACAAATGGCGATGATGATCACAACCCACTCCATTTTCAAAGCTCATAAACATTTACTTACACAGAATTTGATTCATCCCTCCGTAGATTCCTCAAGACCATCCTACATTTATGTTGGTAACCATTGATGCAATTGCACTTTTATTATCAGGCAGACAACATTGCTGGACAGGAGAAATTAGATATTAAACTCATTGATGCCCTCAACAAACTATTGCAACTCAATCAATCATCAACGTGCGAGTCAGAGCAAACACAATGAATAGTAGAAAAACTTTGGAGTCAAAAGCTGATTTCAAGGTAGTACCTAACAGCAAAAGTTGTTGCATCATGAGAAGGAAAACAACTGCAAAAGAGGATCAGGCATGAAGATATCCAACAGGATTCTCATCCATACGAGAAACAAACCAGCAGGTTAATTATGCCCTCTTCTTCCTGGCTGTAGGGACATGAGATGTAGCCGTGGGGCGTCGCGGTTTAGCACGAGAGAAGAGTCCCCGCAAAATAGCTAGAAGCGCAAAAACCCCAAAAGGAACATACATTCGAAGCAGCTGGTCAGATGCTCTGCCAGAACCTAGCAACTCCGCCATTATAGCAGCCTGAAATGATTAATTTCAGCATTTTTATGTGAACAAGATAGAATTACAGAACAGGTCAAAAACATTTCAAGGAGATAGAATTACAGAATTACTACATACAAACATCAACAACGACCTACTTTAACATAAACATCATTACAGCTGCTGGGGATGGCTAGAGTTGAGCAGATTAATTCAAGTGCAATCAGTTCATGCAGGAGGAAAGCAACACAATGGGCAATCGCTGTAATTCAAGATAAGATAATTAAAGCATTTTTATATTCCTGCTTAGAATATCGAATGATCCCTTGAGACTTCAAGTTGTTGCACTTCTCTTGTTTCGACATAGTAGGATGACAACTAAAAAGTGGTGCCCTTTTCAAAAGTCATGAAGAATGTTCACTCTTAATATAGAAAAAATTATAAAGTGATGGTAGAAACTAACATCAACAGCTACAACAATTTACCGCTTATGAGCAGCCAATGTAGGTAGCCTGAAGCTACCGCCAGCACCAGCCCCCAAAATCTACTTGAGCATTGAACATCACAGCCAATATAGTGCAATTTAATGAATTGGATACTTGGAGGCCTATTATCCATGTAAACTAAACAAGTGAAATCAACAAATTGCAGATTCAAAATTTTTTGTGCACGACTCACTAGATCATTGCCCAGTCTCTACAACCAGCCATCTGGAGAAGCCAGTTTGACTTCTTTATCCAAACCATCTTCTACATGGATCAAGAAGAAGAGAAGAAAAAGCGTCTCTCAGCTCTACATTAGTCCCTCGCTCACCTAACTTACTGACATCTTTCAACATTAGAAAGAATATTAGTTTTTTTAGTTTCAACAGTGACTAAAACCTGAATTCACAAAGTTTATAAGCTCTCTCAAAATCCAACATCAATATAACCACTTCTTTTTCTGTTTACAAACATAAATCAACTCATGAGCACATGTCGGTGCCATATGCGTCCATTCAAAACTCTGATATTGAAGCTGTCACGTTAATATATATATATATATATATATATATATATATATATATATATATATATATATATATATATATATATATATGTTTTCAGTGGGATAAAAGTAGCACACTTAAATAAAGAAGAAATAAAAGTCTAGGCAACAAAAAAAGATAGCTAAAAAGAAGCACAATCAAATACTTCATCACAAATATCATGTTCGCAGCTTTTGTTTTTGAAAGAAATCATAAAGAACGTCGCATTGTTGAAAAGTTCAATAACAAAAAATCGGAAAACAAATGAGGACATATCATGCATATGTGACCAAACATTGGCTGACTTGTTGCAGCAGATAAAACTTCATATTTTAAGGAAAAAAAAATACAATTTTGACACTTGTCAACAAATGGAAAATATAAAAAAATTACTTACAATCAATACACATTAAGTCATTTGAAAAGATAAAATCCATTCCTGCTTAAATATTACATCAAACGTGTGTTTTTGGCAAAAACACAGACATATATGAACTATTTGTAGAAGCATCGATAAACAGTGCTCCTTATCATGCTTTTTCCAGTCAAGAGATCTTTCGATTGCTTTATCCAATCGTAAATTAGATTTTATTCAGCTAGAAAGTGTTGTGTATGTGGTTGTTGTATCGACTTTAATATGAATATAAGAATAAAGAAAGAACATCAGAAATCCAACTTAGCAAGCCACGAATTCAGACAGCCTCTTCATAAACTTTCATTTAGGAGTTAGATCTTTCTTCTATCGAATTTAAACAAGACAGTTGTTCAATAAGTCAATCTCACGACCCTAGCTTCAATTCAGTATATTAATTACCGCCGTCGACCACTTTACCTGCCGTTCATTTAATCAAGAACCGAACAAGCTGTTCTTGCCCTTTTTTTTATTTTCTTTTTCTTGAAATCATCGTCACTGAAAATGCCACAACATAAATCTAGCAACAAACCACAGGCTAATCTCACATCTAAAATCTTACAAAAAACGACCTAATACTATGATCCATGATCCAACCCTAAAGTGACAATTACTACACACACACACAGACACAAAAGAGCGAACAAAAAGAAGTGACAGACCCTAAATAAAAAGAGGAATCTTTTCAAGAAAAAGAAAAGAAAAGAACAAAAAGATCGGAAAGAGATGAGATCTTTAGTTGAAGAAAGAGGGAGATACCATAGAGGTGGCGATGGAGACGCCGGCCATGAGGGAGGTGGTGGCGGCCCAAGGGCGGCGGGCGAGGATGCCGTAGAAATTGGCGAGGGAAAGTGGCCAGAGGAAGGCGATCTCGACCCAGACGAGGCCGGTGAAGAAGTGGGGCTTCTCGGCCATCAGGTAGTCGCCATATGTCTCGCCGTACCACCGCTTCAACTCCAACAGCGGCGCCGGGTACAGCCACTCGGGGAGGCACACCTGGGCATCGATCAGCGGCACCGCTACTGCCAACACGCCGGAGAAGAGCACCACGGCTGCGTCAACAAGCCCCGAGACGAGTCCCATGTCTCTCTCTCTCTCTCTCTCAGATCTAGAAGAAAACAAGGGAATACAATCTGTAACACGGACTAAGCGACCATGCAAAGAGGCATGGCTAAATGCGTGCGAGCGAGCGAGCGAGCGAGTTAACTGCCACGTTGACAATGTCACCTCCACATGGTTGTGAACAACCAAGCCGTTCGTCGTTATCTAATTTGGTACGATTCACCTTCGAACCGATTTGGGCCTCCAGGCTCAGTTGCAAAGTGTTATCTACTTTGGGGCCAAGAAGGGTGACGGGTGACAAGAACATACGAAAGAGAAAGATTTGAAAGTAGGCTATTCACGAACCGGGCATTTGGTCTAGTGGTATGATTCTCGCTTTGGGTGCGAGAGGTCCCGAGTTCGATTCTCGGAATGCCCCATTTTATTTTTCGTTATTCTATTAGATATCTATTTTAATTTATTATAGATTAAAAATATTACAAAAATAAGGGCATTTGGTCTAGTGGTATGATTCTCGCTTTGGGTGCGAGAGGTCCCGAGTTCGATTCTCGGAATGCCCCTTCCTTTTTTGAAAGTTTTACTTGTTTGTTTTCTGGTTCATCAAGATGAAGAAGAAGAAGAAGAGCCACCCTTTCCTCCTTCTCAGAGCATCCTATTTTAATTCGTTACGAACATTAAAAAAAAAAAAAAGTTCAAAATGGCAGATGGATGCATCATGACATCCCCATTTTAATTTAAGATCCTATTTTAATTCACTTCGAACATAAAAAAGAGTTCAAAAAATGGAAGATGGATGCATTGAAACCTATACATTTATTTGGATAGAAATTCCAGGATTAGGTACGCTCTTGCGAACAAGAAACATCTCACTCATCTCATGCGAAAAGCTTTCGACACCCCGCGAGTCCTCCCAACATCGTGTTTAATGGAATCAACGTGAACTCTTTGTCGTTTCCGAGTTCGATTCGTTCGTTGCATACACGAGCGATTGGATGCTTCATGTGGAAGGCACGCACGCGGAGACTGCCCCTCCACCAACCACCTCAAAAGCACCAAAGAAACCAATTCCCACCAAACCGCAACACCATTCTACGCTACTCTACCATCACCCTCCCTCCGTATGCTGCCATTAAAGCAAACACTAGGAGCAGTTCCTGCAACCTCGAGGCCATGTCAACGCCGTCTCAGGTCGAGGTCGGTGCTCGAGGGACCATAGCCTCATTGATGTCGCAAGAGATTGACTACTTCCGCAGCAGGCTCAACTTGGTCCACAATGATTTCTCCCAACAGAAACACAACAAAGTGACCGCAGATACAGCATCGACCAGCGGAAGCTGCGGCAACAAGTCGGGCGGCGGCTCAAGTGGAAAGAAGGAGAAGAAGAAGAAGAAGAAAAAGAACAAGAGGGTGGCAGGCGGTGGAGGATTCCTTTCGAGCATCTGTTCCGCAGTGGACGTTTCAGATACGAGTAAGGGAGAGAAGATTCCCGGAAACGGGTACCGGAAGCTGAGAAAGGATGCAAAGAAGCTTTTTGAAGACTAGAAGGCATCAAAACAACATTTTGAATCCTACTGTCATCATACATGGGGTTCTTTTCCAGCTTGTCAGTGTGTAGGAATGTACAGGGGGTTTAATCTGGCTTTATGAAGAAACCAATTGTTGCTGCTGCTGCTGGTGCTGGTGCTGGTGCTGGCAGATATATTCTTGGTGGCTTTCTCCATTTCGAGAAAGTTTACTTTGGAACAGGCACCACAGTAGACTGAACAGTGAACGGGCAGGCCCTGTTTGCTGTTTTCTTTGCGAGTGAGATGAAATTTTTGGTGATGGCTTCGATGCATGCATTCCCTTCTGGCAATCGTGCCGGTTTGATTTGGACCTCCGTTGCCATTGGCAACCACATTAATTTGATTGACACTAATTTGTGAGGAGTTTGAGAAATAAGATATCAAAGTACGTCTTTACGAGTGCCTCCAACCTGACATCATAATCGAACTGGATCATTGCCTTCTTCCTTCTCCTTGTTTTCTTTCTCAAACAAACAAATCTAGATATCATAAGATATCTACAGGTCTTCTTTAACCTCTAACATCAAACAATTAGGTACCAATAACACATCAGAAGGCGATAATCTTAATCCATGAATAAAAAGAATGATGCTTTGAAGGCAACAAGAACATGATGTTTGACTTTGACGAACGATGGGATCTACTCGCTTTACTTTGGGCTACGACAGGCATGAGCCCTCCTCCTCTCCACGAGGGGTTGTGATCCCCTTGCCGTGCACACCAAGAGCTCGATGTATGTCGCTGAGATCGGTGCCCTTGACCAGGGAGAACCCCGAGTTCCTGCGGGTAATCGCAGGACGCTATCTCTCGGCTAATGCTTTAAGATCGAGAAAGATGGTCCCCCCGGCAGCAACCCCACTTTCCGTGACAGGGAGATGGAGCGAGCTGTCGAGAAGGACAACGTGCGCGGCACGTGGTGAGAATCATTCCTACCGATCTCCCGTTCACACCTGACTCCCGTGTGCGCCACCACCAGCGAAGGGATCTCAGAGTCGACGTGACGCAACCTCCAATCACAAGACGGGTACGTAAAACTAAAACCCAATAAAGTTGGGATAGAAACTATTCTTATTGGTTGGGAGAGGTCAACTTTAGTGGAGCTGCAGGCAGGCTCGATTATAAACCAACCACAGTATGCCACGTGGACAGCACAGTGGGTCACACACTCTCCCATTTTTATCCTATGTCTGGATCTCCATCTGCAAGCGTGGTGGAGCTGCTATCCTCTCGGTGCCTCTTCCGAATCTTGGGCTCTTTTGTCTCCCGCTTACGGAAAGCTTCGGTACCACGAAGAAAATTAAGTGACTCAATTCGGTTCGCCTTCGAAAGAAGAGAGATGGGGAACTGCATCGATCTACAGAAGCCAATCTCGTGGGTGGACGAGGAGGAATGGGAGGCGGCGGAGCTCCCGAGTCCCGCACATTGTCGAAAAGAAGAAAAGACCGAGAGAGTTGCTGCAGCATCCGCGAACCCGCCGGCGAAGGAGGAACTGGAAGAATTCTTGCACTGGAAGAATTCCATATGTCGGAAACAAGGGGTGGCCTCCACGGAGATCAAGACCAGGATCAGCAAGAAGCAACTGGAAGAGCTGCTACATCAAGCGGACGAAAAGGGATTGCCGCTCAAGAAGATTCTTGTGGATATCGCAACGATAGGTGGGGTTTGTACCGAGAACAGGGACCGGTGCTGGAGACCCAACCTGCAGAGTATACTCGAGGAGGTATCGGAATTGAGTAGAACCCCCTAGTTTCCGACATATCAACGACGATGATGATGATGAAGACTTGTTTAGGTGTGCGTTACTTTTAGATGTAGGTGCAATATTCCCATTCCTCCCACACACAGAAAGAAAGAGAGAGAGAGAGAGAGAGAGAGAGAGAGAGAGGGTGTGGGTTTGTGTATATTATATAGGTCAGGTGATGTGAAGCCGGTAGAAAGGGGGAGAGTGTCAACCGTATCGGAAGTGAAACTGTTGATATTTTAACATACCTGTGACAAACCCATGACTTTCTTGGAATGGTCGCCTTCATCTCCACTTCATTATGTCATAACAATTCTCTAATGCCAAAATACTTTGGATGATGATACTAATTGAAGCTTCTCCACTGTAACTACCAATACAACAAAAAATTGCTACCCTAAAAATTCCAAACAAGTAAAGAATTCTTGCACTAGTATGCTGTGCAGAAATCTTTCATATTTTCATGTGACACACACTATCACACTTCCCACAGCATTTTCCATTAGTTGCCAGATGAACTACAAATTTCAATATCATTCACCCACCTTTTATACATTGGTTCTAATCATCAGTACATATAAATGATGACGGTGTGGAAAATCTTACTCTTTAATTTTTTTACCACAGGAAAAACAAAAACAAAAAACTTTATTATCCCCATTTTGTGCAAAACTTTATCCAATGATACATGAAACCAATAAGCAGCAAACAAGATAACATTTTTTGGACTTTCAACAAAATAACACATACATAAATTCAACTACTCAGAAAATGACAATTTATTTGACAGTATTACATGGTCATTTACATTGAAGATTTAATTGCATAGAGAAGAAATTTATACAAGTTACTCACCTAGACTGGCCGGGTTTAGCTTCTTCATGCGGTCTATGCAAGAAAGCTACCATAAATTCTAACATATGAGATGACCATTCTCAGTTATGTAGATTACATCTGATCTAGGATTCAGGATAAGCATAGAAGAAATTTCAATGAGATTAAAAAAAACTTGTAATTAATTACATGGACACTCCTTTTCATGAAACTTTTTTCTTTTCTATCTTACAAAGATATATTATGCTGATCGCAACAATCAGGGAACCAAAAATATGGATGTAAAAATTTCTAACAGATGCAGCATGTTGTTGAAGATGATGGGAAGTCCCACCATCAAAGGCTAACCTCTGTTCGATATGAAGACCAGCATGAACATGTCTGGAGGCATCATTATAAATTACCATTCTTGGAGCACAAGCATATCACAGCAGTATCACAAGTAACAATAATAAAGAAAAGACCACTCTAAGCATCATATCTGCTGCAATTAGACCTGACAAAGAAATCAATATGTAAGAAGCATTCCACAAAACAATAAGGTAAAAATGTCCCAACTACCTGAGACAAGCAAGTGTTAAAGTTTGTAACGCAATCAGAGAACTATTCTGAAAGATGAATCCTAAGAAATAGCCTGAATGACAAGTTGGACAAAGATGAGTGAATCCAACCAAATAAACAGTTTGACCTGTGAAATAATGATTTAAACTTCAGCTAAGAATTTAATTGTATATCTGGAATTCTCAGATGAAAGAAGACGAGTTTGTAGCTAGACTGCTGCTCTGTCAAATTGAGAAATTGCTTCTTAAATATCAGGACTGCGACTGAAGCATAGCAATTTATTTAAAAGTGACGGAAACCAGTCATCAGCAATTTGGAAAAGTTGGAGTGCTGGAATGGATAAATTTGTTTTTGGATGACAATATTGTTTTAACCAATTAGTTCTGATCGGTATCCCATCTCTAGTGTCCCTTGTACCATGGTGAGGGGATAGGATTGACAAGTTGAGAAGGGACTTCAGTCACCCGAGCCTGTTTTGAGTCCTCCAGTTGCTGTTTTGCAACTACGATAAAGCTCAGTGCAAGGGATTACCATGCAACTAGCCACATTCATTTTCAAAGTCCACAATTAACCATTGTCTTAGACTAACTAGACCTGTAAAATGTATCAGAGAGAACCTAACTATACTCAGCTTAAGAAGACTCCAAGACGAAACTAGATTCATAAACCCAAGAACTAAGACCTCTTCCTGAACCCTTCATTTGAATATGGTATTCAATGCTGTGGACTTCACAGCTAATACCATAGTAGGTAAAAAAACTAAATTAAACACTAAATACACCATCAAGCATCAACAACTACAGCCATCAAAACTTTTTATGGAGGAACCGAGCATCCACTACCATAACTGCCGATCAATATTAAGAAACCATAGCTGAGGATTAATCTGCAAAAAAGTTAAAAAGATGTTTCTAACAAAGTATAAAGATGTGTTAAGTGATATAGTATGCTAAACATGAGAATCACTTTAGGCACAAATAGTTGACAAACAAGCATCGACAGTAAAGTTATGATCTTACCAAACTGTGAAGATGTCGCAGCTGGAAGTGCTGGAAAATTAACAGCTGCCAAAATCAAAAGAGCATGTCAAAGGTTTATTCCTAAAAGGGAAGTCATGTAATAGAAGGGAGAAAAGAGGGGGTAGAAAGGCTTGAATTGATGAAAATCAAGGAAAAAAAGAACCATAATTGTGTAAACTAAACTCTTTAAAGTTTCCTTAATGAACAGGAGATGTTTGGTTAACAACAGAAACATCTTTATAACAACAATAGAAGACTTTCGGACCAGTCTATGACACTGCAAGTCAGCATGTGTTTATCACTGAAAACTCTTCCAAATAGATGCAATGAACCTTTGACCGTTAAGGGTAAACCTCTTGAGCATACAATTGTAGACAAAGTACCTACCATTGTCTAGCAAATCAAAACAAGATCATAAACAAATGATGCCATGAAAGTTAGATGACAAATTGATTTGCATACACTTGTTGCATGAAGATGATGATATTTGAGATGCAGAGGGCCATGGTGCTGCAATGTTGTCATTCAGGTCACAAGTGAAACTGAACCCTGAAGATGGGTCAAAAGTTACATCTGACGGCAAGCTTGGAAGAAGGCATCCAGACTCTACAAAATATATCAAATATCAGCAAATTAAATCATTTTACTGAACAAGAGTTCATTTCTCTGTGTACACAGCCAAGAAAGAAAGACGAGTACCCACAATTATCAAAAAGAGTAAGCTTAGTATCATGTGTAATTGCAATTATTTAAGGCTTAAAAGGGGTGGTTAAAATTGAGGATTGTCTGATTTTAGATGTGGTTCTCAGGAATTGTTTCATCTCAATCTGGTAATTTGGGTCACCTTTGTCTTCAACAATTAACATAGTTCCCAAGTCCAAACTAGTAGCGTTGATGCCCATTGCTGCCTTTATGCCTAACTAGTAGCATTACACTGAACAACAAGGTGGAAATCACTGACCATTAGCTAGCCTAATAAACGATTACCAAGTCACTCTTCTGTGGCACATGTGCCTTAGTAGAAAGTAGCTCAACATCTTCAAAAAGGAAAAAAAAAGAAAAAAAAGAAGAAGAAATGGCTCCATTATCATGCCCAGATGATCAGACCTTTCATGATATACTCAACTTTCGATTTTAGACTTGTCCAACTTTTTTCAAGTTCTAAATATGTACATTTTAGTACTTTGAAATTTTTTATTTATTTTCATCTTCATTTTAAGAGGGTAATTCAGAGTGTCAAACAAGGGTCCAATTTAAAGCATTTTCTTGCTCATGAATGCTACTTCAGTTGCCGATGAAGTCACCATAGTCATCAGGCATTAAAATTCAAAAGATCATATATCCCTTAAAATTGGATCTTATGTAGTCATGTACTCCCAGTTTGGGCGTGGGACTTTTTAAAGTCTATACAAAGGTTAATTTCTACTTGATAGACTCTTGGGTATGTTCCTCTAAGAATCTTATCAAAAATGAGTTTGAACTCTCAACTGTGTTCACTCATTTTGTATTCTTTTATGTCAATCATTTTTTCAGCATAATATATTAATAGCAACTTCTGTATTGCAATGGTATTGATGTACATTTGCACTAATTAGGAGAATGCAAATATGAATATGGATTTAACAGAGAGCTGCTGTTTCTCATATATTCTGAAAATAAAGCATCTAAAGCAAAGAAAGGCAACCAAGACATTTTATCATGGAATTACATTCACGAACAGGGATGCTTTTAGATCTCTTTTCCTTTTAGTACTCATATCAATCAGTTACGCATCTATCAACTTTCTCATTCTGAATTAAGTCACTAATCTTAACTCATACAACATAATTCCCTAAACATATGTCGTACAAGATATTAGACCATTAACATAACTAAAAAGCTTGAGCATTAATTCATCATTGTGAAAACCAACTGCCAAAGTTATAGGAAAGCTCATTATAAGTATCTGACCAATTAAATGAATTAGTAAAATCAGCTATCATTCACAAAGCCATAGTGATAGACTTTAGGCATCAGTTACACATGCTAGTTCTAAGCATTAATAAAAGACCATTACAACTTTAAATCATTGATTCCATTGTAATGTCTTCCAGACAATTCAGATTAACCAGTGTAACACAGAAATTAGACCTTACAAATTATACAAAGGAAACTGCTCATAAGTAGCTAGCACATGTCTATGTTACAGCTTGCTCAACTTTAATAGGGCATCATTTTATGCAGGAAAGTTGAAGCATCTCAAGACAGTTTGCTCTGCCAAAGCTACAGAGATTAATAATAAACAGAACCACATTTTTAGCTCCTAAATTCATTCATAAACAAATTATAACAAAAAAAGAAATCAGCAAGCAAACAAGAAAATTATGAGAGGAGGACTGAACAGTATATTTTACCTTGAGTTCCAACTGCTTTGCCATTCCAAGAACCGAGCACAATCCAAAGAAAAGGAAAATAAAATGGTATCAGTATGACTTTCTAACAATTCAAAAAAGAAAATTAGTTTATTAGAAGTGAAATTCTATAGAAGTTTCCACTATCAGCCACCTTTCATCCCAAGTAGAAATGTGAAGAAAAAGTAGATTCTACAATTATACCAAAAACCTTGATGGCACTAACCTTGGAGTGAAAAATCTTTGAGAGTTATTTGACACAAACTATAAATATTTGTGCTAACATTCATTTCTTGCAATTTCAGACCAAGCAAGGTGGCACAACTCAAAGCCTGCAAATTGGTTATAAAACTTTGCTTCTGTAAATGGGACACATAATTTTCCATAGAATGGCAGCAGGTAGTATTGTTTTTAATCATATTGCCACAATTTTCTGCAACAGCCTTGGTATCTGGAAAATCCAGTTGACAAACTGCACGAATAGAAGCACATTGAGCAGAACAGGAAACCAACAGAACAATCATTTAGGAAATAGAAAAAGATATCATTGCTTAAAGGTAAACCATTCTAGCAATCCAATCTGGGTATCATTGCCAAGATCTCTCGAGCGGATGGTTGTTGCCCAGCCACATCCACTGAGCAAAGGTTTACTACCTCTTATCAATATGTTTGCTAGTCACATCTTCCTCTCCTCTCCTTCCTCTTCTTCCTGTCTCTTCTCCCCTCTTTCCCTTCTATCCTATGTGACTATGAACCGCTGCCCCATCCAACTACCTCACTCCTCCAGTCTTTTCTACCATCTCCTCTTTTCTCCCTCTTCTCTCCCTTATCTCCTGCCTTCCGTTAATGGCCAGACACCTCTCTACTTCCTCCCCCCTTCTACTTTCCTCACTTTGTATAAGCTGCCTTCCCTTCCCTTCTTCTCTATCCTCTCTCCTCCCCCTCTATCTATGGGCAATCGTCTCTCCCGTCCCTGTGGCCCGTCTCCTCCCCTCCACTTCTCTCTTTTTGGTTGATGTCTTCCTCTCCTTTATCCTTTTTCTCTTCCTTCCTCCCCTTTGTCCATAGGCTGTTGCGGCCTCCCTTTGTTGCTACTAGGCGATGGTGGCTATGGAATTAATGGCTTTTTCATGCTTTCCATGGGCTTTGAGCGCTTTTTTAGTTTGATTTACTGTGTGGAAGCCTCAATGAAGTCTAAAAATATTTGTTACCTGTATGTCTACCAACTAAGGATTCATAGAGTGATCAGGAGGTTCAAGTAGTTGCAATATCTCCTTAAATAATAGAAAGCTAACCTTGACAAAACACTGAGTTCTGCAAAAAAATCTGGGTCAGGAGTTTCTTATTGATGAGTTTTTTTCTTTAATTATGACATTCAAGGTTTTAAATATGGGTCAAGTCTTGTACACATTCATTGTTATATATTGGTTAACCAACTTACTGACAAAAGGGTGTACCCACGATGCACCTGCCAATACTGAGAATCAATGTACACCTCTGAATATAGACTGTGACCCGAACATGATATCCCAGGCTGCATGATACCAAAATATATAGCTTATACTAGTACACATTAGTTTGATTTTATCTTATTTATTATTTTATTTGATAATTTCAGGTGAGACGGGCTAGTATATAATCCGGTATCCTAACATCATACTGGTCATATAAGTTACTGAAACCAGTATAAAACTGATATTTAAATCCTTGATGAGATTACAGTCCAGGATTTTTATGTTGTTAATTATGGAAAGCTGTCAAGGATTAATGTCCAATAATTCAAAACAAAAAACGGAAAGCTGTCAAGGATTTCTATGCTTAGCTAAGTTGCCATGCATCAATTACCTCTAGCCATCAATGATTTCTCAAACATTGCAGGATTTACAATCCTAGAATCTGAGTATATGGATCTTCTTAAGATCGTAGATAGGAAGTGAATTGACAACCTTGGCGATATGAGATCATATAAATGGAAGTGCTTTTTTTACGTCAAGGATCAGGTGACTGCAAAGGGTTCAAGGAATCAATTTTTTTCAAGTGCATACTAGAGGATGCCTGAAAAGGCATATGGGCACAACCAAGGAAAAAGGATGATTTCAAGGTACACAGTCAGATTGGACCAAGTGTTTGAAGCAATTATTTATACAGTTGATCTTAGTTTGTCAGAATAATATCAGGCACTAATTGTCCTTGTTATCTAGTTCAAAATGTTGATGAGCAAGATGTGATGTATTAATGGTGTTTGTTCTCTGGTTAGTGTTTTATTATCACATGGAGAACTTTGCTCTAGCATTAGTTTTGTTGTTTTATTAATCAACTACGGTCAAGCCAACTAAGTTTTCCAAGAAAATTCATAAAATCTTAAAGAAATTGAACTTAAGCTAGTGAAATACTGTGTGACCATCAAGAAGAAACTCAGGAAGAAAGGAAAATGCAGTTGTTCATTAATCAATGATTTGGAGCAGTATTTTTAGAGAAGAAAATGGAGAGAGACGGTCCTTTGAAATTACCTCTATTGACATTGCAGTTGGATAGCCGTCTCAGAAATAGTTTGGCAGATGCTGTATTGAGTCTACTAGATAACCACCTAAGGACGATGCTTCTGCAACTATCAATTTTAGATGAATGCTCAATTAAACTATTACTGATAGAGAAGCTTGCCATCAATTCACCATTTCTCAAGGCAAGCTTATTTGCCGCTTCTAGTACTGCATTCTGGCAGATTTGACTGCAACATTCAGTAACAGGATCGACTTTCCTGCACGCAGACAGGAGTTTAGAAGAGTCGACAACACTCTCAAACCCATTGATATCATATACAGGGCAGGATCCTCTGGTAAGGTTAGATGAGTGGATTGAACAAATTTCTTGAAGATCACTACTAGCTCCCTGACTTCCAAGTATCTGTTGAATATCTGATAGGCAATATTTTGAATGGGTAGAACCCAAAGCAAGCATCCCTGTTTCTTTACTTGATTGCCCTATTAGAATAGTAAGAGTGGCTTGAAACTGAGGACAGCAAATTACATTGGCCAAGAAAGGAGCAAAAGAGGTCCAGCAATCAACAGCAGTTGTACTCATTAAACTGTCAACTGAAGTGAAGTTTAATGTGCACCGCCCTGCAAAGAGGAAGTAAGACTAAGTGCAACTCATGTGACCCTAACAATTACTTGCTAACTTTATTGTAGCCAATTTAAATGAAGCTGTCAAAACCTGATAACTTTGGAGTACTGTTGTGGAAAAATGGTGTCCCCATTGGGGAAGGTGCGAGAAGAGGAAGGAAAGGTTGTGGCGCACTATTTGGAGAAGCAGCAAGCATAAAAGTGTTCTCCTTTTCCTCATTTTGCTGATTCACCAGCGCAAAGCTATGAAGAAGTACGTTCTCCAATTTGTAGAATTCTTGCAGCCCTGACTCATAAAGGTTAGCCATAAGTTATAATAAGATGCTGTTTCTGCTAATGATGAAATGCCTAGCATGAACAAGAAAAAACACTGCTACAATAGAGTGCATTAAAATAGTCTTGAAAATTTTAGTGGAAGCGGAATATGCAAATGACTGCAAAAAAATTACTTTTTATGTGACCAACTCATGCTAGATAATTATATAACACTAGAATAGAAAGAAGGCATTCAGTGATTTATTCTTCAGCATTTTGGCGATCAAGTTAAAGCAAGGAAGTAGCACATTATATAGGATACCAAACAAGTAAACCCTCGCAATGGCATCGAGTCCTAGATGAGAGCGATCACGCCAAACCCCAAGAACTAAAACTAGTGCAAGGGCGACGTAATGCTAGAATCCCTGCTTCTATCGAAGAATTAATCCCAATAACTCCTTTCTTGACAAAAGTAAACCAAAAAGAGACATCTTTAATAGCATCCACTAGATACCGGCACCAAACCAGCAACCCCCTCGCAATACCATCAAAACCCTCAAAACTCGAGCGAAGAGCGAATATATCAAGATCCAAGAACTAAAATTAGTGCAGAGGCGATGTAACGCTAGGATCCTCGCTCCCGAGAACTCCTTCCTCGACAAAATCCACCTTTAATGACATCAAGAATCCACAAGATACCGGCACCAAACCGTCAGCACCCTCGCAACCCCATCAAAACCCTCGGGATCCATTCGAAGACCGACCACGTTAAGACCGAAGAACTAAGTTCGTACAAGGGCGATGTAATCCTAGAATCCCCGCTCTTCTTGAAGAAATAATCCCAACAACTCCTTTGTATAAGCAAACCAAGAAGAAACATCTTCAATAACATCAAGAATCAGCAAGATACGGGCACCAAACAAGCAAAACCCTCGCAATTGAGTCAAAAACCCAGCTCAAAAACACAAATTTAAGCAAAATAGGGCGAAAATCCGCGATCTATGAACGGCCAAAGAAAGGACCCGTGGATCAAAGAGGGACTCACATAGAAGGAAGAGAATGAAGCCGAGGAGCTTCGGAGGGGGAGAGAGCAGCTGGGAGCCTCCCATTTTGCCTCCCCTACGCTTGAGAAGAGACGAGAAAGAGTGGGGGGAGGGCGGTTGTGGCGAAGGCTTTCATTTATTAGCGATGATGAAGTGGCGTCCGTGGCAGAAGATGACGGCGTCGAGCAACTGCTTGTTGGACACCGCCGCCACGCGACATGAACAGTTTGGACGACATTCCGACTTAGCGTGCAAATATCGCGTGCGATTTACAGGTACACAGCATTATTTTTTTTTTTTTCGCGGAAGCTAAAAGATTTATATTAAGTTAACATGACGACAAAGTGTAATATTCTTTATTTTTAAATTATTTATGATATGATAAAATTTTTAATTATATATTAAATAAATTATTATATTAAAATAATAATTTTTAAAAAAATCATCATATCATAAATAATTTAAGTGAGCATGATATATAGCACTGATGTATGTCTTAATAATTTAAGCGTCTGTACTCATGACAAGTGTAATATTCTTTATTTTTAATTATTTAAGTATTTTTGAATTGTTTACATTATGATAGTTTTTAATTATTTTAATATAAAATTTTATTGAATAAATTATTATATTAAAATAATAATAAAAAAAACATCATATCATAAATAATTTTGAAATGAAGGATATTATAATAAGTAATCAATCATCCTATCTTATCAAATAAATACTTAATTTATTTCATTAGGAAAAAAATAGAAATTTCATCTCCTTTAGTCTAAAATACTAAAAAAATAAGATTCAGAGAAACTGGATTGTCAAAATTTTAGTACTAATCTTAGTAGAGATATAGCATTGGGGATAAGGTTATTTTCAAAGATATAGCTTAAAACTTGGGGAAAAAATTGAACTTTTTCTGGTTGATCTTCACGATCACCTGTTTGTGAATCATATTATATGTTTTTGTGAAAATTGAAGTGTGATAAGATTATTTAGTCTCATATTAGTTGAGGAGTATGGGAACCAAGGAGTTATAAGTTCGTCGGGTCTTCCTTATCCTTATAGACGCCTTTTGGAGCTCACATGCTCCGAAAGGATAAAACAATGCGGGTACATCCATCACCTAAAGCAGATAATTTCTCATGAGCCTACAGGCTACACCAATAGCCGATGGACCAAATTATCTCTTATCATATTGACACTAAAAGAAAGGACCGAGGTCTGCACCTCGATCGAGCAAACTCGCTCCTGAACCGTACACTTTGTTTATAAGTCATTGGCTCTCCTACCATAATGTCACGGACAAACTTCTAAACAAGGTGTTTGATGTAATGCTTATATCTGTCCGTGTCTGTTGGCATGTTCATGCCTTGTACAGAATGTAAAGGGGCGGCCGAAGGCTTAATAGTCCCATTTTAGTTGGGTTGGTGGCCTCTTTAGGCTTGTAAATAAAGGTTGTGTCATGTGGACACGTGCGAGAGCTTTTCGATCTGTAATGGACCATTTTACCCTTTGTTGTGCCACTGTTCAGAGCTTGTAAAGTCTGTTTGTAATTTGTATTGTCTATGAAGTGTTTTTCGGACATGTTTGCTTGTGGATCCCAATTGAGGCGTTCTCTTTTGCCTGTTCTCTCTTTTGTTGGTCCTAAGGGACAATGGGAGTCTTCGGGGAGGCTGACCTTTGCGGACGGACACGCAAGGGTGCCGCATGACTTAGGCAAAACCAGCTAAGTCCGTGTCATATGGTATCAGAGCGGGACAAGCACTCATAGAAACACTTAGCATGCAAACGTGGGGGACCTAGCGGGGCTGCGTTGAGGGCAGTCAGCACACGCGCGACCGTTTGGGGGAAAACGGGCATGGAGATGTAGGGAAAAGAGTCGCTCAGAGGAGCGGGCATCTGAGATTGGCATTCAGAGGAATGGCCAACCCTTCGCGCAAGAGGCACCACGAGAACAGGCAAGCTTGCAGGAATGTGG